TCGTACGCTTCTACTCTCCTAAATTATGTATTAGAAGTACATGAGAACTTACCATCAAATATTTTTTCATATTCGCGGTTACGCTCTTTGCCCATTCAGCATTCTCTTTAGGTAATATATCTTCGTCAATCAGTTTTATGATTGCAGCTAAAGTGAAGTCTGATTTTCCACGCATTAATTTCCAGAGTTCACAAACAGCACTTGCGCGATACTAAAATAAACGTTTTTATTTAAGTTAATATAATCATTAGGCTGCAGATAAGCACATATATAGTAATTATATACTTATACGAAGTAATATGAGCACACCTTTCCATTTGTTATACTCGTCTTGTAGTCGACACTTTCCTGCGTCATCCAAAATCTCCACAATCGATAACTGTATTTAGAACCAGGTATCTTTATCTGTAACACAGACGTATTAGTAATGAAACTTGAAGAGTAAAGAATCATAATTTTAATAAAGTATTAAGGATTTACTTTTTAATATTAGAATCATTTTAATGCAAAGCGATTATTTAAAAATCAATATGAACTAAACATAATAAATAAGTACTTCAATAATTCAGAATTTTAATTATTGTGCAAGCGTTTCTATAGTATCCTATTTGTGCGAATAATGATAGCATTCTATTTGTTTTCCGAATTGATAATATTTCGTAAAAAGAATGTGGAATGTCCTGAGCTGAGATTATAACATAGCCCAAGAATTTCGATAAATAAAAGAATCAAAATAAAGTTTCAATTTCATGTGCTTCATAAGAATCATTTCATCTTAGTCAATAAGATAGCTTATATAAAATTTAAATACATATGTAAACCAAACGGATCAGCTAATTCATTCTCTTGAGCAGAATCCTTAAAATAAATTTGTAATGCAAATAGAAGTTCATTTTTCAATCATTTTTTAGACAGACCCACAATCATAGAGAGAAAAAAAGAATATGTTAAAACTTGCTTTCGTCGCAGATCCTGTAACTTCTTTAAAATGTCGTACAGCTTTTAAAAGGGCGGCTTTCATATCACCATTTACTCCACTTGCTCTTAAATCACCTGAACTTTCTTGATAAAAGATATTAAGAGACTTCAGATCTACCACTTGGTCGAGTTTGAGTAGAGATTTTCTCTCTCCAATGAAGACTTTACATAAAGGTATCAAATCTTCTGCCTTTTTGCATATTGGGCCTATTTCTGCCATTGAGTTAGAGTAGTCCTGTTGCCGGAGTGCAATTCCCTTCAACGGTGTCAAACCTAACAATTTTAATCACTATAAGCAATTATTTCATATTGCGTCAATATGTAATGGAAATATGTTCAGATTTTTAAATATTTAACTTGATTAATGCCCTATGGAAACCCTCAAACGGCGTTTCATTTAGATTTAATTAACAATAAGATTTGTAAGATAGCAATATTACAACAGTTAAAAAATAATAGTAAAAAATAATTAGTTATTAAAAAGTAATTAACAATAAAAAGACTTTATTATCGAATTAGTATTACTCTCATCGATATATGATTGATCTTTGTTGGCTACCTTGGCCACTTGTTCTTTCTCTTTCTGTCACTTGTTGCCCTGTTCTACGTTCGGCACAATAAATAAAAGATAAGAATCATATCTCCATTACATTTACAGAAAAAGATCAGACCCAAAAGATTTGCATTTAACATGATTTTACTGTATTTTTGTTTTTTAATTGTCCTATGCATGATATACCTTCAGATGGTTTAAGACCAAAAACACCATTAAAAAAAGCAGGCATTCTATTTAGTAGAACCACCGATGTCACTTGCAACGGAGAATGCAGATCCACATGCAGCGATAATTGCCCCTTCCCCACCGCTGCTTCCACCGACATTTCTCGTAGTATTATATGGATTACACGTTTGTCCGTACAAATGGTTTCTAGATTCAGTCCATAAATTAAATTCAGGTATGTTCGTTTTAGCTATTAAAATTCCTCCAGCGTCTTTTACCAACCGCACCACTGTTGCGTCTTCTTCTGAACGATGATCACGTCTGTTGCTGCGCAATACACATTCATGTATTAAGCGTTATTTTTTTTATGTATAATCTTCTTTAGTATAATTATA